AGTTGGGTTTGTTACATACACTTATATGTTAATACTCTTGGGGAAGGTATGAATCCATCTCTTCCCCAAGCTCTGGGTTGAATAGCAGGATATACTGGGTCCTGTACTCTTGGTTGGAAGCCAGTCTAGTAGGTTACCCAAATTAAGGTTGCTATTACTTTAAACTACCAACACCCCCTTGGTAATGTTTATTTATAAGATTATAAAAATATGTGAACCAACTACAATGAAATATTTATTTTTTAAATTTTATAAAGAAATAAATTTGAAAAGATATCTTTTTATTAAAAAATATATAAAACCCAATAGCATTTTCAAAGAATTTTCTTCTCTGGAATGGTTGGTAAAACAGTAGCTAATTTCCAATCAATTCGAACTTTATAAAATTGTAAATAATAGATATATTATTATAGTTGCTTCACATATTTTTATGATTTGGACAACTTTTTATAAATTTATGAATAAAAAAGTTGCTTCACTATTTATTTCTTTATAAATTGATAAATAATGTTGTAAATATAAAATTATTCTTGTATCAGGTCATCCCATAAGTTCTGTCCGAATTTTGAATAAAGAAAACAAGTGACCAAATGTTACATTTAATTACAGATTCAATCAACAATGTATTTTCCCTGATTATCTATGACTTCCTTCCATCTATTAACATGCTTACTAATTCCATTACTGTAAAATTCTTTTAGCTTTGATTCGAAGAACTCACAAATGTCAGTTTTAACCTCTTCCTGTGTTACAAAAGCTGTTTCTTCCAAATGATTCTGTAAGCTACGAAACAAATGGTAATCTGAAGGAGCAAGATCGGGAGAATAAGATGGATGAGGAATTTTCTCCCAACCAAGTTCTTCGATCTTTTGTGACGTGATTCTTGCTGTGTGGGGTTGCGCATTGTCCTGATGAAACATCACCTCTTTTCAATTCACTACAGCAGGTCTTTTTTTCCTCAAAGCTTGGTTCAAACGCTCTAATTGCTTACAGCATATTTGAGCATTAATTGTTGCTTTAGGTGGTAAGAATTCAAAGTGGATTATTCCTTGGCAATTCCACCAGATTGAAAGAAGAACCTTTTGCCTATGAAGTTCCCTTCTCAGCTGTGGCTGGGGTCCTTCCCCTTTACCAATCCATTGTCTACGATGCTTAACATTTCGACAAAAGATCCATTTTTCGTTGCCAGTCACAAGTCTATCCAAAAAAGGTGAAACAATTTGGTGAGAATGGAGAGAAAAGCAGATGTCAAGTCGGGATTTGATGTTGTTTTCAGACAATTCATAAGGCACCCATTTTCCAAGTTTAGGAACTTTTCCAAGTTGTTGAAGATGACGATGAACAGTTGTATGGTTTGAAGTGAGAACCACTGCCAATTCCTCAACTAATAAAGCAGGATTTTCTTTAAGGGCTGCTTCAAGAAGCTTTTCATCAAACTCAACTGGACGTCCGGTTCGACCTTCATCTTCAAGAGTGAAATCTCCAACTCTGAATTTTGCAAACCATCTTCTGCGAGTTCTTTCATTCACACATTCCTCTCCATAAACTGAGTGAATGTTTCTAGCCGCTTCAGCTGCTGAGTTTCCTTTCTTGAACTCATAAAGCATAATGTGCCTTAAATGATTCTTGGGTACTTCCATGTTAGCAGGGTTTTAATAAAATTTGATCAGTTTAAATGCATCTAAACATAAAAATAATGTTCAGCTCCATTAGACATTATAAAATACTCTTTAAATTTCGTTCATTTTAACAAAAAGTTAAAATTCGGACAGAACTTATGGGATGACCTGATAAATAAACAATCTAATAAATAAATAGTGTTTAATATTTTTGTCATAAATTCTCAAAGAATATTCTGTCAAGAATTGTCCAAAGTTAATTTTAATGGAAAAAATAATATAAGCTTTTCAATTTTTTTAAGTCATCATCAGGGTAGGTAAAAACAAATTTTTCACAATGCAATTTAAAAAAAAATAACATATTATTAGTTAAGTCATGTGAAAAGTGTATTTTTTATTCTAGAATCATAAAACCAATGAGTGTTCTGATGCAAGCAAGATATGACATTTATATACATATATATATATATATATATATATATATATACTATTTACATTATTCGGACTATTGTCCTCATCTTTGTCGCCGTATTTATTGCAACTTTTCGGCCTTCTTCAGGTGGTTGGAATGTTGAACTGAACCCTCTATTTTGCTCACTGGGGTAGACTGTTCTAGTTCCACGTGCCATGTTTAATGGATGTCAGTTATCAGTTATCCCCTGTTAATTCACCTATAAAAGTTCTCCACTGCCTTAACCGGGTATTGAACTCACACTTTTGGGGCCTGTCACTGGATCTAAGCAACGCCTTTATCCACTGTGCAATGTGTCCTTGAGGACATCTGTGCATGAATTTCTGGGTATTATAAATCAGCAACTATTTTTTAACCAATGTTCATATTGCAATTTTTGCTGTTATCATCCAATGTTTTTACCAGAGCTCATATTGCAATTTTCGTTGTTATTACTGCTTTTCTCTGGCACTCCTTTTTACTGGTTCCCATTCATTTCTATGCTTGGTCGGCTCCGGAGATTGTTGTGGCCTAGCATATGTGCTGATACCTTAAGACAGATATATATAGCCTTACAGGAAAATAGTTATCTCCCTTGCACTTGGATTATATACCAACATTTTATTACCTGTAATATATATATATATATATATATATATATATAAGGATGCAGTCCATTAAAAAATAAGTATTTTAACTTATTAATGTTATATGAGTATTACTTCAAGAAAGAAGTCTTTTTTACTAATTGATTTAGATAGATTTTTAGTATTGTTAGTGAGTAACTGTCTAATGTTACTATGATTCTTAGGCTCTCAATGTGTTGCCTGATGACACTGTGGTAGTATAGTTGTGATATATTTCGGTACAGACAAAAAGTCTCCAAGTGGGCAGGTATATTCATACACAGCAATGGTTTTATGGCTTGGAAGTTTGGGATATATTAGTTTTAATAACTACGCTGCTAGTTTGGAATGTTTTGTTGTAATTAATATAATCTAATATATTTATGTTTGTTAGTTGGTTTCATCTTGCTAGGCATTATCTTTCCACTACTGAAATGGACGGTAGACAATTCTTGATAGAATTTCCTACTTGTTTGAAAAAGATTCATTAAAATTAATCAAAATAAAATGTCATTTTATATATATATATATATATATATATATATATATATATATATATATATATATATATATATACATTATGAAACGGACAATTATTTTAAGGCATTTAAGACATAATAAACAGTAGTAACCAACATTTACTAGCCTGAATGTCCGAGAAATTTTCATAGAAAATATGCGTCCTCAATATCAGAGATAGAGTGTATGTAAATATATATATATAAAAGTGGACATTGAAGTTAACAGTCAGAGGTGACAGGAGGCTGTTTCATGCTAAGCGCAATCATCAGGCTGCAAATGTTGGATTTTTCCTCGACTATTTATATATATGGGTCAGTGGTGCATTGTGGGTAATCTATTCTGGCAGTTGTTTTTGCGAGAGTGGCTTGTTTGTTTATTTATTTATTTGTCTGGGTTAATTTATTTGTTTTTCATTAGAATAGACGAAATAGAATAAATAAAAATAAAAAATACATAAAAATAAAATGCATAAAAAACAAGTAAAAATAATTAACCCAAATAAATAAACAAATAACATAAATAATAATAAACTAACAGACCAATCCCACCAAAATAATTGTTAGAATAGACAACAAATCCAAAAATTGGATGTAAAAATAGTGATAACTACTATATAACAATAAAAAAAATATTAATACCTTACTCAAAAATCGAAAACCAAATGGAGTAAATAAAATATACAAAATAAAAAATAAGTAAATAATTAAAAAACAAATAAAAATTAATCCAAATAAATAAATGAACAAATTAACAAATCGTCCCTGCTAAAATAACCGTTAGAACTAATAAAAATAAGCATAAATAACCAAAAACAAGTAAAAATAATCAATCCAAATAAATAAATAAATTAAAACTACCCCCTACCAAAATAACAGAATAGACTACACTAAGCAATGTAAACATTGGACGAATACCCTTAATTATCTTCCCAGACCAATACAAACTATTAAATAAGTGACCTATGCAACCCCCCCTCTCAAATTGTTTTTACAATGTTAATAAAACATCAAAAACCGAAAAGAATAAATAATACAAAAGCAAAATGAAAAACAAATAAATTAACGCAAACAAATAAATAAATAAACAAGCCACTCCTGCAAAAATAATTGCAAGAATAGATTACCCACAATGCACCACTGACCCATATGTATTAATAGTTGAGGAAAAATCCAACATTCACGGCCTGACGATTGCACCTAGCATGAAACAGACTGTTGCCTCTGAGTGTTGACTTCAATGTTCACTTTTATATTTATATATATATATATATATATATATATATATATATATTTTACTGACAATCAGATTCATACTTATTCATTCATTTCATTGACACTAGTTAGTACTACTGATAAGTGTGATCTGAAGTTAGAAATTCAATACTTTCTTTCTTTCTTTACTGAATATTCAACCCCCTGAAAAAGTTTTAATTAAAAATTATGCTGTGGCGCATTCATTCTGACTACCTTGGCATAATAAACTTCCAATGTCAGCTGAATTACCTGCAAAAACAGTTGACACCAGCAAAGATGTGGGACAAAGAATACAACTAAGATGTGGAGATGAGTTCAGATATCTCATAGAATAATACTGAGGCTTCATCCTGGAAATTTCAAACTGTTCAGTGGGAATAATATTTTGGAAAATGTCATACCTGATTTCTGAGCCCAATATCTGCATGGGCTTCATCCTCAGCTCCTGTTGTCGGGCTGTTGGCGTTTGGAAAATAAATTATTATTATGAAAAACAAATTGAAAATAGAATTAACACTTTAAAACAAAAATGGCAGCAGCAACCAGATGTTTCTCCAAAATTTCTCTCTGTCTATTCACATCTATTGATATATCTATGTCTCAATCTGTTCTTATCTATCTATCTATCTATCTATCTATCTATCTATCTATCTATCTATCTTGTTCTGTTCATATCTATCTATCTATCTATCTATCTATCTATCTATCTATCTATCTTGTTTTGTTCATATCTATCTATCTATCTATCTATCTTGTTATGTTCATATCTATCTATCTATCTATCTATCTTTCTATCTATCTATCTATCTTGTTATGTTCATATCTATTTGTCTGTCTGTCTTATTCTGTTCATATCTATCTATCTATCTATCTATCTATCTATCTTGTTATGTTCATATCTGTCTGTCTGTCTTATTCTGTTCATATCTATCTATCTATCTATCTATCTTTCTATCTATCTATCTATCTTGTTATGTTCATATCTATTTGTCTGTCTGTCTTATTCTGTTCATATCTATCTATCTATCTATCTATCTATCTTGTTATGTTCATATCTGTCTGTCTGTCTTATTCTGTTCATATCTATCTATCTATCTATCTATCTATCTATCTATCTATCTTGTTATGTTCATATCTGTCTGTCTGTCTTATTCTGTTCATATCTATCTATCTATCTATCTATCTATCTATCTATCTATCTATCTATCTATCTATCTGTCTATCTCGGTCTGTTCATATCTATCTATCTATCTATCTATCTATCTATCTATCTATCTATCTATCTATCTATCTTGTTCTGTTCATATCTATCTGTCTGTCTTATTCTGTTCATATCTATCTACCTATCAAATGGATCAGAATCTGACAGGATGATAAGCTGAAGAAAAAATCGGAAATGTTTATCTATCTAACATGTTTCACTTTTATTATCTCACTGTCTGTTCATATCACTCTTTTTACTTGAGAAATATTATTTTTAAATAATTTTATTTGTGAAAAATTTTATTTATTAATTTTAATTATTAAATATTTTTAAAATTTTACTTGTTAAATATTATTTTTATTAATTTTATTTCTTAAAAATGTTATTTATTAATTTTATTCGTGAAATATTATTTTTCTTTACTTTATTTGTAAATTTTTATTCATCAATTTTAAGTGTTAAATATTATTAATTTTATTTGTAAACAAATTTATTTTTTAACTTTAAATAGGAACGTCTTTAATTATTGTCGATTTTTTAAGTACTTTTATTTGTCAAAAATTTTATTTGATAATTTTACCCATGAAAGATTTAATTCATTAATTTTAGTTGTAAAAGGTGTTAATTATTATTAATAATATTAATATTCTTCTTTTATTGATTTTACTTTTTAAAAATTTATTTATTAATTTTAATTTTGAAGGGTAATAATTATTAATTTTAATTCTTAAAGATTTTATTTCACAAAGTTTTTTATTTTATTTGTTAACCATTTCTTCTAAGCATTTTATTTTTTACTTATACACTGAGAGATTCTTACAGATATTCTCTGGTGGTAAAACCATTCTCCTTGTTCGGCCCGTCTTGTAGAACTTCTTCTTCTTGCCAGTGCCAGCCATGATGTTTTGAAACATGCATACATTTCATCCAAGCATTAATATGAAGCTGTCTCTGCAGACAACGAACAGCAAGACATGAGGTGTACTCAGTGAACCCATGCCATTTCATAAGCACCCGTTTCATCAGAAGCACCAAACAATGGTTATAGTGGTTCCTGTAAAGTGAAAATTAAAAAGAAAGGTAAGAAAATTGCCATTTATTTTTAGCCCACAATAATGGCCATCAATTAAAATTAGAGAACCGAATGCCCACCCGACAAAAAAAATGCTGTATTTTCCAGTCCTCATTCACAAGAAATTCCCTTTGTAGTGTTAGTTTGGATACAACTTCCATCTCTCTCTCTCTCTCTCTCTCTCTCTCTCTCTCTCTCTCTCCATCTGAGTCTGTTCAGATCTATCTATCTATCTATCTATCTATCTATCTATCTAACTGATATGTCCCGGAAAGGGATATATTTGAGCAAAGTAGCTAAGTGGTTTTGCTACTGCAACCAAGTAGTACATGGTAGCAGTAATCGACTGGTACTCGTCGTAGTCGCAGGTAATAGGTGTAGACCAATAGGATAGCCAATGGCGTAGTCCAATGGGCGTCGTCATAGACTTAAACTCTGTCGTACCTACACATCTGTCTGTATTTATGACGGGCACCAACCAATCATATTCCAGTGAGGGGGAAAATCAGGTGTATGCATATTCCATTATATCACTAACAATAGCTGGCCACTCGTATTCGAGGATACCCGTCTACTGGGATGGCTAGCCAATCCCTCTTGCAGATGCTCGCTCAGACACAATCTATGGCTTATATTACAACTATGCTGAGCAGACCTTAGTTACAGTTTCTGGGAGAGAGTGTGTTATCTAGAATGACCAACCAAACTGAATAACGCCAGCACAATCAAACCTTTGGTCACAATGACTTGTGACTTTGTGCTAACACAGCTATCAGCAGCCCCAAGTGTTCTGTCCACCAACTATCTATCTATCTATCTATCTATCTATCTATCTATCTATCTATCTATCTATCTATCTAATTCAGTTCATATCTATTTATCTAGCTACATACATACATATATATATATTTTAAGACGATTTTTTTTATGTTTATACGTTCTTTTTATAGATACAAATATTTAAGTAAATATTCTGTTTTATAATAAACAGTATTAAACAGCATTTACCGACCTGAATGTCCGAGAAATTTTCATAGAAAATATGCGTCCTCTGACAGGAATCGAACCTGTATCCTATGGAACTGTCATATAGCCTAACATGCTTTTACAGATTGAATCACAGTGGAGCGTTTTGGTTAGCAAGGTCGATTTTAAATGTTGTTAATACTGTTTATTATAAACAGAGCATTTACTTAAATATTTGTATCTATAAAAAGAATGTATAAACAAAAAATTGTCTTAAAATAATTGTTGAACTTTGTCCATTTCCTAATATATATATAGATATATATATGTATATAGATATGTATGTGTGTGTGTGTGTGTGTGTGTGTGTGTGTGTGTGTGAATATTTATGAATAAAGACAAATTAAAAACTTATCTTAGTCGATGTGTTTCATCCTGTAATAGACTTTATCAAGGCAATTGTAAAGATTTTTATTTTGCAACAAATATTTAGAAAGAAAAAGAAAAATATTTAGAAAGAAAAATAAAAATGTTCACAAATACTTGTTATAAAATGAAATTCTTACATTTAACTCCCTTACTTGTGACTTTGTGCTCACACAGCTATCAGTGGCCCCAAGTGTTCTGTCCACTATCTATCTATCTATCTATCTATCTATCTAGCTAGCTAGCTAGCTAGCTAGCTAGCTAGCTACATATATTACATGCATACATACATATATATATATATATACATATGTGTGTGTGTGTTTGTGTGTGTGTGTGTGTGTGAGAGAGAGAGAGAGAGAGTTTATGAAACAAATTGAAAACTTATCTTAGCCGATGTGTTTCATCCTGTAATAGACTTTATCAAGTCAATTGTAAGGATTTTTATTTTGCAACAAATATTTAAAAAGAAAAAGAAAAATGTTGTTTATAAATATCTTTGTTCACAAATACTTGTAAAAGGAAATTCTTACATTTACCTCCCTTAGATAGTAGTAAGCAAGGTAAATCAACATTGAGTGGTAAATTAATGTCTGATTACCTCCCTTAGTCATGTTCCTCTGATTTTTTTAGAGAAAATTAGTTCACTACCAGGCACTTCGGCATCAAACAAAATAGAAAGAAGTAGGGGTATGAATTAAAAAGACATGGAAATAAGAAGGGAGATACTTTTAAAGGGACATAGTGGTAAACATATTTAAAGCGAGGGTTGAACACAGTGTAAGCAGTAAAGATAGGGGAAGAGAGAGGGGTGACAGAAACAAGGTATAGAGGAATAGAGGGAAAGAGAGAGTTTTTGAGAAGGTGTGAAAAAAAAGAAAAGAAAAAGAGGGAAAGAAATTAATGAAACTTAAAGAAGAAAGAAGAACATGAGGCTAATGTAGTTATTTTCCAAGCGTAGCTTAGATGTGGCATGATGTAATGAATATGCATACACCTGGGTTCCCCCTCACAGTAATATGATTGGCTGGTGTCAGCCATAAATACAGACTGATGTGGAGGTACAGGGACGACAACTATTGTCTTCGCCTATTGCCTACGCCTATTGCCTACCACTACGACGAGGACCAGTCCATTACGGTTACCTGCTAGATTGTCCTGCTTGATTACAGTTGTCCAAAACCACTTTGCTACTTTGAACAAATATATCCCTTTTCGGGACATATCATGGCACCAAGCCGAAAATATGGGATACCAAGTGAGGATTGAACTCACTACCCAGTCGTAATTGTTCTAGCAAGACAAGCTTGCTAACCATTACACCAACTCGAGGTGCCCAACATGAGGCTAATGCATCCATAAAAATAAACAAATAAAAATCAATCATAGTGTCAAAAATAATTACAATAATATAATTATAACAATAATAATTATCATTAATTCACTCATTCTAAACCAATGAGAAACAACCCCACTTTTCACCAGTATGCACACAAACACTTGTAATTCTCACTATCAGACAGGCAAGGCAGTCAACATGGACAGGTCATCAACATGTGTGTCATTGAAAATTTCAGCTCCTTTTCCTTTTTCAGGCCATAATAGTAACATTTACCACTTAGCACTCGACAAAAATTTTGGGTAAGAAAACTGCAGAGTCTTCTTATATCTTCCAACTTAATTATCATGACACTCGTTACGTACTTCGATGAAAAAACATACAAAAAAGGCTGCATGCACTTTGTTTATTCTTTATCTTATCATTCTGTTGAATTCTGATCCATTTGACCCCAAATGCACAATTTTACTCAGTATTACTGTCTGTCATGTCTCCAGCACCACATAAGAACCAGATAATAATTAATAATTGTTTTGATGCTTCCACACCTCGTTCTTTCTCATTTTTAGGATTATTTTTGTATATATAATTGTTAAGATATTTATAATTATTTACTCAAAGTTAAAAGCTCCCTGCACTAACAAACTATAAAAAAAAATAAAATAAAATAAAAAAGAATAATTAAAAAAATAAAAATAAAAAATTAATAAAGAATAAAATAAAAAAGAATAAATAATTAAAAAGAATAAAATAAAAAAAGAATAAATAATTAAAAAAGAATAAAATACAAAAAGAACAAATAATTGAAAAAGAAGAAAATAAAAAAGAATAAATAATTAAAAAATGAAATAAAAAAGAATAAATAATTAAAAAAGAATAAAATAAAATGAATAAATAATTAAAAAATAAAATAGAAAAAAGAAGAAATAATAAAAAAAAGAATAAAATAAAGAAAGAATAAATAATTAAAAAATAAAACAAAAAAAAAGAATAAATAATTAAAAAGAATAAAATAAAAAAAGAATAAATAATTTGAAAAGGATAAGAAAAGAATAAATAATAAAAAAAAAAAATAAATAATTAAAAAATGAAATAAAAAAGAATAAATAATTAAAAAAGAATAAAATAAAATGAATAAATAATTAAAAAAAAAAAATAGAAAAAGAAGAAATAATAAAAAAAGAATAAAATAAAGAAAGAATAAATAATTAAAAATAAAACAAAAAAGAATAAATAATTAAAAAGAATAAAATAAAAAAAGAATAAATAATTTGAAAAAGGATAAGAAAAGAATAAATAATAAAAAAAGAATAAATAATTAAAAAAAAGCAGATTGGCAGAATTAAAAAAAGAATCAAAAAAAGAGATTCTGAGATGTGAAGAAAAAAAACCAAACAAAATGCAAGAAAATAATAAAACTTCAAAAACTGAGAAAGAAAGATCTTGCAAAAGGACCCAAAAACTGAGAATTAAAAAACTAAAAAGTTATTTTGCACCTCGCAAGTACATGAATCTTTAGCTGATGTTTCCAACAGGTTAGGGTCTGCATCAGAACATGCTGTTTGTGAATTTTTTCTATCTGCCACGTAGATTCAAGTCGGTATCTTTTCTCTTGGATTGCATTCTGACGCCATCTGCTGAAAAAGTGATGCTGAACTGTCCGGCAACTTCGCTGAAAATTAAAAAAATATCCTCTTTCAGAAAATTTTTTAAAAAAATTAGCTTATTTAACAGAATTAGGTTACCTGAATTTAGCGGCATTGTCCTGTTTTTTAAACTAGAATATTTTCTTGCGTTATATATATATATATATTTTTAAGTTATGCTATATTTATGGGTTAAAGTGCTGAATACCAGGGATAGTGTGTAGTAAATATAAAATGAAAAAAATTTAAATATTAAAGATAGCCTGACAGTTGCACTTAAGCATGAAACAGACTGGTGCCTCTGGGTCTTGACTACAATGTTCATTTATATATATATATATATATATATATATATATATATATATATATATATATATATATATCACACTTATACTCACATGCATGCTAATATACACACTCACACACATCATACTCACTCACTCCCTAATGAGCCAAATGATAACACACACCCATACTAATATACACACATCATACTAATATATACACATCATACTCACTCACTCCCTAAGAAACAAATAACACATACACATAACAGACACATCCCCTTTCCAGGAACCAATAAAACTGTCAAAATGACCAAGGGAATTCAGAGCAGCATGAATCTATCCAGCTCTTATCTCAAATAACAACTTAAAAGAGACTGTTTGACCAACACAAAGACTGACCAAAATCCGTGTTAAAAAAATAAAAAAAAAACAAATGAAAACTACAGACAAAAGTTCATTTTCTCCATCAAGACATTCATTTCTGTAGTTCACTGCTAGTAACAAGCAGAATTTTTTTTTTCTCCTGATGATGGCCATGTTGGCCGAAACTAGTCAGGGAATCTAACTGAAATATAAAAAAAAAAAATATTAATATACAACCCAGTGTGTCTGAAGATTTTAATTTCTTAATATTTTTTATTGTTCAAAACATATTTATATATATATATATATATATATATATATATATATATATATATATATATATATACCAATTTGTGACTGGTAGGGATAATTCCAAGGAGGATATTAATCCAAAGAGAGCTCAATGTAAACTACAGAGCATTAGAATAATAAATCAAGGAGAAAATTTAAAGCTCCATTTCAGTTATTATTTATTTCATGAATATTGTTATATTCATCTTTTAAGACTGAAAGTTCTTAATAATTGAATCTAATTTATTATGAACTTTCAGTCTGAAAAGATGACTATAACAATATTCACAAAATAAATTATAAGTGAAAGTTATGGTCAGATGGCAGTTAATGCCTCATTAAGTCTTGTTAGCGAAGTGATTTCACCATTAATCACGTTAACATTGCTATTTAATCCTTTGTATAAATTGTTTCTTTATGATACAAAATATAAGCTGCACTGTCTAATATATGGACCTAGGTAAATTGCTCGAAATCAATTGCTCAAAAAATAATTTCTCAAACTATCAATTGCTCGAAAGGCAGATTGCTCGAAGTAATTTCGAAGCTCGAAGCACCACGCAAACTGCGCCGTCTCACGACACATCAACGGAAACTGGATATAAAAGGAGCCACAACACTCAACTTTAGCAGTCCTGATTTTTTTTCTATATTTGTTTTCTATTTCTATTTCAGTAATTTTGGAGATCTTGAACCCTAGTGATGAACTTTTGTTGAGAGTGAAAAAGGAAAGAAGTTGTGTTTGGATGGATATATATATATATATATATTAAGGACAAAATAGTGAACAATAAGATTTACTCGAAATGTGAAAAGGAAATGCTTAACACAGGTTTTTTTTTTTTTGTTAACCATAGGTTTCGAACAAACTGCCTTTCAAGAAAAAAATAAGACCTGCTATATAAATGTACTCGTTCTTTAATTTTAAATGTTCAGTTAACAACAATAAAGTTGTATTATTTTATCTTATAGTAAATATTAGAAACAATATAGTTTTATTTTATTTTAACCACAGGTTTCAAGCAAACTGCCTTTCAAGCAATTGATAGTTTGAGAAATTAATTTTCGAGCAATTGATTTTGAGCAATTTACCGGATACACTAATATATGTGTGTGTACACACATGTGTGTATGCGTGTTAATATACATCAAGACATGATTGCATTTGTGTAGCGTTTTTTACATGTTTTTGATGTAATATCCTAAAATAAAGTACATATATATATATATATATATATATAATACATACACATTTTTCCTCACCTATAGTACAAATCTGAGTTTCATGTACAATGCAAAAAAATCAGGTGCTGAT